TAGGATCAAATAGTATAGAAAAATAGAGCTTCATTTTCTCTATCTTTTTGTAAAAAAAGAATTTTCTTTTGACCTTTTAATAGAGAAATGATATAGAGGCGACATTACTTTTGGATACACCTAAGTATATTCTGTTTAGTACAGTTGCACTGAAGGGAGAAACGACTGACTTAAAAGTGACTTTTAAATCATAAAAGTCAAAATAAAGTCATGAAAGTAAAAAAAAGTTATGAAAATCATAACTGATCCTTTTAGACCGGATGTTTCCATTTTAAAACATTTTGTCCTATAGGGGAACGGCATTTTTGAAATAGCCGGCTGGAAGAGCTAAAGTAACATTAAGAAAGAACAAAAAATAACGAATTTTTGTCAAGGGAGAAACGACTGACTTAAGTCACTTTAAAGTCATGTTTAGTCAGTTACATCAAGAAAGTCATTTTAAGTCAAAAGAAGTCAAGAAAGTCACGAAAAACATCTGTAAAGGATCATTAATAAAGAATAAAAAGCTGTGATTTTTTTTCAATTTCGATGACACATGCTCCAAATTTTTGTTTATTTTTTTTTCAAAGACATACTCATATAAAACAGACGAAACGAACAGATACATATATATTGCAGGCAAAGTTAACATATCATTTTGAGAACTTCACAGCTAACAAAAAACACAATAACGCAAACACGAATGGAGTTAAGAATGATGGTAAAAATGAAAGAGAAGATCTGAGTGACAGAGTAGAAGTAATCATAGTGTGTATAAAGGATTCTTAGCGAAGGTTAGTTTTTCAGTAAGATTATGATTTTATGCAAGTATGATTTTATGCAATTATTCAGTCTGATTTTATCCTCAACTTCACTACACTTATTGAGATCTCTCATCTTCACTCAGACTTCGGTCCTCGGCATCACCATCATTCATGATGACGAGAGATAGATGAGATCAAAAAATTAAAGAGCTGTCAAGACCAACACATAAAAACTTACTGGAACCACGAACAGGAAAACAAAGTTTTTCGTTAAATTTTCCTTAATTTTTAGCAAACTAAATCGTAAATTACATCATTTTCTTAATAAAATTGATCACATGAATAGATGTTAGTTTATAAATTCCAAGATCTTAATAGTAAAGTTTCAAGATTGTGATGTTTTCTGAGGCATGCTTTGAGTTATGGAAAACCTAATTATACAATTGGATAGAGATCATCGAATTGTACTTGAGATAAGAATAACAATATTGGAACAAGTTTCTGAATAAATCCTACCCGTAAATAGTCGAATTTGAATTCAACTTCACCTACATTTTCAACGGATTATGAGAGCAATGAGAGCAGAGATTGAAATTATGAGTGTCTTCGCTGTTTATAAAGCTGAAGGGTGTCAATATTGAAAGTAACATTCGAATATAGCAAGATATATTGGTTTTAAGATAAATGACTTTGATGACTTTTAAAGTCATCAAAGTGATTTTTAAGTCAAAAAAGTCAAAAGTCAGTCGTTTTCCCCTTGGTTGCACTCCATCTCCTTTATTTAAATATATAATTAATAACAAAAAAATCAGTTATACATTATGAAAATTTGAGACAAACATGAAATTAGAGAACTAAATATGCTACATAACGTCAATCTTTTTGTTATACAGAATATAGAAATGAATTTTCATCTTTAGAACATAGAAAAGGAGTAAGATAAGTATTGAGAACAATACAATATCGGTAAAGAGGAAGGATAATAAACTATTGATGATTTTAAAATACACGAGAACAATAAACGTATACGATAGATCATTACAAAAAAAAAAAACCCACATTTTACACTCATACCCAGATCCAATAAAACGGCGTCATAAACGGCGCCGTAATTCATCATACCAGGTTACGGAAACAAAACCGGAAAAAACGACGGCCGTTTTCTAGCGATCGAAACGGCTCGTAATACGGTATGACAGGTTATGGCAAAATAAGGCCAAAATTGATGCAGTAATTCGCCGTTTTATAGCCGTTTCAGATCGGATAAGACGCCGTTTCCGACGGTCGGAATGACCCTCCTGAGTAGCTAGATTGAACTTAGTCATATGTGAAAAAATAAATAAAAAATAAAAAAATAGTTTTTAATTTGATGTACATGCCTTCAGAACATTGAATTCTAATCGATTTGTATTAAAAATTGTTATTCAACTTTTGTTTCATTAATTTTCACAATTAATCTGAAAAAACGGTCTATTAATCTAGAAGAATATACTATCTAAAATTTAGGAAATGAAATTGAATGAATCATCGTTTATATATTTCAATTGATATTTAGTCTTACTCGATAAATGAATAGTTGAAAATGAAAAGTCGTTTTTCTGTTTCTGGAATAATGATTCATTATAGCAGTACAAATGACTCATCGGAAAAGAATGGAAGATTAAGTCCCTAGAATAATTCTTTTCTATTTTTCATTTAATTACATTATTTTTCTTTACTACACAACCTTATTTTATTTTCTTTTATACCTGTTAGTGCATAAATATTTTGTTAAACATTGTGGAAAAAACGAAGATGAGTACTATATTGAGTACTCATGTTTTTCTCTGCGAGTAAATCTTACAGAAACAACTCATATGAGTACTCGCTATAGTACACAAAAAATATTAATACACATACAAATGCTTGAATACTCGTGCGAATAATTTGAGTACTCACACTTGCAAGTCGTACTTGCTTGATGAGTATTTTCACTAGGATATATTGTTTTATCCAAAGAGATATATTATTTGACTGAAATATTTATAAATTTAATTTCTATATGTTCGGCATAAATTCTAAAAATAACTGATGACCAATTTTGAATGGCTGTACTTTACATTTCATATATTAATAAAATCCATTTAGAAATTAACATATGAAAATGAGAATTGCGCCCATTTGTTATTAATCATCCAGTATACACCTGCAATAACATGTTTTATAATTACTTATATTAAAAAAAGAAAAAAAAAACGATGTTTGCTGTAGATGAAGAAAAATTTCTTTTAGAATTAGTATTATTCTGACTTGTTTGCTATGACAAATACCATCGTATAAACATAAATCATACTTTATCTAGACACATGAATTCAACACTGAATAACTCATCAATATGTTCATTACAACTTCGTGTTTATACATCAGATTATTTATTTTTTAAATTACTTAGTGGGACATATTTACGTTTATTTATTGGTCCAGGTATATTACTCAATACACTTTGTCTTTTTATTCTTTCACGTTCAAAATTATTAAATAAATCAACAACAGTTATCTTTTTACGATTTCTTGCAATTTTTGATATTTTGGCTATTACATTTAAATATATTCGAGCTGAACTTAATTATCAATCAATCAATAAAAAGAAAGATATTTTTTTAATAACACCTGCATTTTGTAAAATACTTTATGTATGTATGAATGCATGTATGTCAATTACTATGTGGGCTATCGTTTTAATGAGCTTGTAAGGAATATAATATACAACAAAAATTCATAATATATTACTTATTTTAGAGATAGAGCTGTAGCAGTCAGTTATCCACTCAAAGTTGGTACATGGATAACACGAAAACGAGCATTTTATATATGCTGTTTTACCAGTTTTATACTTTTACTTGCTAATTTAAATTTTATTACATTATCCAATGTACAACGAGCATATAATAATCAAGGATATTGTGGATTAATGGAAGATTCTTTAATAATCGATATTCTTACAGCTTCTATTTTACCTATCAGTGAGTATTATTGTTTATATATAAACTATAATATTCATTCGTTTCTTTTAGTGTTAAGTAAATTATTTCTATGATATATAATAGAATTAAGAAGACATAGAAATGAACAAGTTTTTTACATAATCATTTGAGTTCTTCTAGAAATTATATCGACATATAATAAAAAAAACAATTTTATAAATACTAAGTAGCATAATTATAGAATAACAGAAAGAATTTTCATAAAGCAAAACTTTATATATGTACGTAATGAAATGAAAAAAAATTCGGTCGACACAACTAATATTGTTATTAGAATGACTTTAGTCTTAAAATTAGTTTTGTTTGCTTGTCATTTATTTCGTAATTTATTGCACGCTAACTTTTAGTCACGATAACAAAAGTTGATGAGATGGTCAAAATGCATTTTTTCTTTTGTTATAATATTATTCATAGTAAACATCGATATATTAATAATAATAGAATATTCTATAGAACCCAGTAGTATAGTTTTTTCATACAGTTTTCATATGTTAAAGAAGTTCATTTATTTACATTAGTTTGTCAGAGTTTCTCGCAGAAAAAAAAGAAATATATTTTTAAGGTAATATGTCAACATTAATTAAAGAGCATCATCATCTGAAGTTGTTTTGTCGTTGGTTTATTTAATTTAAAAAAAAGTTATATTTTCCCAAGTATCAATGAAATTGAATCTGTTGCTAATATATACATAAGATTATAAATTTTAAATCTATTGATGATAATGTGCATAGTATATTGTTATTCGAAATCAACATACGAATCAAGTTGAAATGAATGTTTTTTTTTGTTGTTGTTTTATATAAGTTCTTTCCAATATGTCTCAATGAGTTTCAATAGTAAGATACTAACTACTACAAAAAAGATAATTAATTAATATAATATTGTAATTCTGGTATGATGAGTTAACATCATTAAAAGTTTTTGAATTATTGTACTTAATACGTCATATCATAAGATACAATGTTCTAATTATTTCAACGATATTTTTATCTAGCTTCAATCTTTTTTTTTTTATTAATATATACATAATATAGAAGAGAAATATAAGAAAATCTACAAGAATTAACTACAAAATGTTTTTCTGATAGTATACATAACATTTAAATCTATAGCAAATCTCTTCTAATAGGTGTCAGAAATCATCGTTGTCCAAAACAGATAGATATTGTCAATATTAACTTGTTATATTGACTCCTGTACAATACAAATCACGATCGTTCGCCATTAGCTATATATACATTTTACAGTATAAAGTAGTTATAAACGGAGAATTTCTTCGGTAGTAACCACGTTTCGAGAAAAGTTTCTTTTTATCGTCTTTTTACTTCATATTAGTTAGGTGAAAATTGTGACCGGTAAGCAAGTTGGACCGAAAATAATTGCCGACTTTCATCTGAAATATGACGCATTTTTTTCTGAGAACATCTAACAAAGACCACGCAAGTTACTATAGTACTTTGAACTCATATTTTGTTCATTATAGAGGTATCACTAAACTAGAAATACCTTCAAGAGATTCATCTTTTGATTAAGATCTGAACTCATTCTCAACATAGATACAATCTTTCTGTGTGAATAGCTCATGAATCTGGAGAGCTATTTAATCAATATTCATAGCTATTTCAATATCATCTGGTTTTTCTTTTGAACAAGGAAAAAAAAGATTGGACATATATAAATGAATAAGAAAAGAAAATATCATAAAATTTTTCTTTTAGTTGAAACTATTGAAATTAAATATTAATTGTTTAAATTGATAAAAGAACAGAAAAATAAATGCTGTATATGCAATATATTTTCCGTTATTTTGATTTTTCAATGACAATGATTAATTTTCCAAGTGATTAGCATCGTTCTTATAGAAAATCAATAATAGTGAAACCTATTAGGAAGAGATTAGATCATAACGGAACGGTAAACAAAAAACTTAAGAGGCATTCAATCGTAAGTCAAGGATTACGACATCTATCTTATGAATTTTTAATAGACTCTCTTCGGAAGCGCCTCGAATTTCTTAACCTGGAATGTCATTAGAAAAATATCAATTATAAGAAAATGTTTTATATGCATACTATGAAAAATAAAATGAACGTAGATAATATGGTACATTAAATAAATAAGACCTAGATAAAATGAAAGCAAATAAACTATTTAAATCATTTTGTTTTTTAATAGTTATCAAATCTTTTAAGTAGCTATAATAATTTTTTAATATAACTGAGTAACATGAAGAAGTGTAATAAACGAAAAGTTGTTACAAAACAATTTGTTACTTAATATTATTTCAAAAAAAAAATCTTTTTGAGAAGCTATGTGAGAGATTTAATCGAGATAAAAAAAATGTTTCAAAACATGGAGATTTTCCATATTTCTATAATTTTATAAAAGTATTCTGTCTATAGATATTACATAGTGTTCTAATAAAAACTCTAAAAGAATTTAGGTTCCTATTGAAATTTGACTAAACTATTGAATTTTTTTTCTAAAAGTCTTAGGTTATTGCTTCTGAGTCGGAATTATATGCAACATGTAGATTCTAATGAGCTATGAATACTCTTAAAAAGAATTCAGGCTAATAGCTTATTACTGGCAAGATACTGTATCTTTTAGCAGAATGTCATGACTTCCTTCAGAAAAACTGAATTTCGACTTAAAACTTTACATAGAGATACACTCTAATGAAAATAGTCTATTGAAAAGTTTTTCGACCTATCCTATGATATGGTTATGGTAAAAGAATCTCGACAGCAATAAGCTATTAGCCTGAACTCTTTTCAGAGTATTGATAGTTGATTAGAATCTACATGATGCACATAGTCTCAGCTGGAATCCGATTTGATACTTAGAAACGTTCTCTCGTTAGTTGGATCTCAATAAGGATCGAAATCGGAAGAGAATGTTTAAGAAGATTTTCTCGTAAGTTAATTTAATCATAGTGTTGTTTACTTTCGAATTTTAAAATTTTATACATTTCTTATTCTTTGTTTTCTTTTTGTTGTTAGCTTTAATTACAGCCATTAATATTGTTATTGTTGTCATTCTTTATCGTGTTTCTCATACATCATTTAATTGGCATAAAAATGAGCATAAAATAGATTCACAACATTCATCAAGACATAGTATAAAAAAAGGATCTTTATCGGGTAGATATCATTCTCAATCGTCACAAAATTCATCAGTAGGAACAGATACGAGTCAAGCAATAAAACAACGTACAAGTGCACAAGTAACACGAATGCTTTTTGCTGTTACATTATCATTAATTATACTTAATATTCCAAATACAATTATATTTCTTCATACAAGAATTAAGAATCCACGAAATTTATTACATGGACGTCCATGTATTGATGTTAGTGATAATGATATTAAATCATATAAAATTAATTTTTATTCAAGTGTTATACAAGATATATTATCAGATTTACCACATATTATAAATTTTTTTCTTTATTGTTTATCTGGAAGAAAATTTCGAAATATTTTTCTAAATGAAGTTCATCGTTGTTTTATTCAAAGTCATTTAATTAAACAAAAAACACAAATACCTCTTACTCAAAATGGTAGTCTTACTAATCCTGAATTAAGTAATCGAATAGGTTCTAATTCTAATCAAAGACAAATATTATTTCGAAGTATTTCATTACCATCACAAAAGAAAACAAGTGTTGTATTTAATACTTTAACAAATAAATTAACTTTCAATGGTGAAAAATCATAATATATATAAAAATAATAAAACTTCTTCAATCACATTGAACCGTTACTTATTTATTAATATATTAAATATTTTCTTTTTTGTTGTTGTGATCTATATGTAATATGATCTTAATGTGATATAAAATTAAAAAAAAAAAAGAAGCATTATACTGTTATCAATTTATTGACATTTTGTTGTATTATTAAGAAAACGAGGAAAAAAAATGAAATTTTAGTTATATGTCTGACTATTAGATGAAGGTCAAATTTTTTTAGACTGTTTGTTTAAGACGTGTGCCATTACAACATTTAACATTGAAATCATTGTTTGTCTTTGTATTCTTCATTTTTCTTTTTGTTCTTTGTTACTACATTTATTCACCTTGTCGAACTACTTATGTCGTCGAAATGAAAGAACAGTAGTGTAGATTATACATTTACGATTATGTTTTAATAGATACTCCAAATTAGACATACATGTCATTGATCATACGATTGATACAATGATTAAAGCTATATTTCCAACAAATTCATTCGATCAATTTTTATCTTCTTATGAAGAAGAAGAAGATCATGGTTTGTTATTTGTTATGCATTCGAAAGAGGAAAAAAAAAGGTTCAAGCTTTAGTATAGTTTTTTTTTTTTTGTAAAAAAAGAAATAAACATCAAGTTCTATACTAAGAAAGTTGTACCCGATATCTTTCTCTATTATTAATAATAAAGATTTTTGTTTGTCAATGTCTTCTATCTATTTACAGTTTCGATCGATGACAATAATGACATTCATTCGATTCTTGTCTATATTGGTCTTATTACAATTATTCTATTTTTTCTTCTTCTAATATTTTCATTGATTAATAAATGTATGAAAATATTTCATGATGAAACAATTACAACAATGAAAAGTAGGTGTTTATCGAATCATTAGAACAAAATAATAAAATTTTTTTGATCGATTATTTTTAGCTAAACAACAGCAAATAAGATATAAACGATATCAATCGAATTTTTTGATAAATAGACAAACAAATATGTCTTCAATTCCATCTTCATCATTTCTAATTAATTATCAATCAAATAATATATTATCCAAACCTTCACTTTGTGCAACACTTCGAATGCTTCAATATAAACAAGAAAAGTTATCATCTATTGTTAATGTATAAATCTATCTTCATTGAACAATTTTTGTTAATATTAATTTTCACATCATTTTATAATTGTGACAAAACATAAGAAAATAAAAATCAATAGATGGCATAAGTCAAATTTCTTTTTATTTTCTTGATATAACAAATAGGATTCTTTTTGCTTTGAATGACAGTCAAAAGTCTTTCTATCAATAAATAGAACGAGAAAAATATTCGTGTCAGTAGGAAGCTGCGAGTCCACGGTTTTATAGATCTGGACCCGAGTCTGAGAGAATACACAGTTCCCTATTTGTCAGAACTGAATGATTGTTTGGTTTTTTTTTATGTCTATGTAAATCACTTGCATGCACATCTTCACACTTGTCTACAGATTTCAATGAAAAGAATCAAACCTTTTCCTAGATTAGAGATTTTTCTTATCTTACCGACCAATATTCTGTCTACTGAATTCTTATCTGATTGACATGTTCATATAAACTAGACAAGGATCTTACATTAAACATATAAGAAAAAAAAAGAATCTTAATTGATTTTTCTGCATAAAAAGAATCTAGAGAGAACAAAGACAAGAAAGTTGACTTGTGGCACATTCATCAAAAAGGGTGCGAGTGCGAGTGTAGATGTGGAGTCTGGGTGTGGATGATGTACGTGTCGTTGAAGAGAAGATCCATACCCACATCCACACCCACACCGTTGTTTTGTTCTCCATCCACGTGTGTACGTGCACATTGATACAGGCATGTCAGCGGCATGCCTTCATATCACTTTGTTCATTTGTGTCTGGTTTCTCTCTGTACATCTTTCTCTCCTTTTCTGTTCTTCTTTTATTTTTTGATATTCATTCGAGCTAGCGAAAGCATAGAGGAATCGAATAAAGTAGTCTTTTCTATACGTGTATAGTTATTGTGTCATTTTCTTATATTGAGAGAAGTGCGTGCATTCTTGCATCGTCTGGTTCTTCACTACGATCTCTTTCACCAAGTATGTGCACTATCGATTCAAGAAACGTTGTCTTAATTTTGTTCGACCGAATTTGTTCACCATCAGCCACACCAAAATCTTCAGCTGCTCTCACGCCAAAAGAACATGAAGTGGCTGACTATTTGATCGATGTATTGGATTTAATCGTTAAAAGCAATGGTTTTTCTATCGAGACGGAAGTATCTCTCGATGATGATTTGAGGGACAAAGAGGGTTATGAAGAATCTGAAGAAAACCAACTAGATGAATCTGCTACCGACTCGGACTACGATATGAAAGATGATAAAAAAAAGTCAGACCTAACAAAATTCTCTAAAGAATATATGTAAAAGGTTCTTGGCTATTATGATGAACGAAATGAACAAATGGGATATCGTAAGCGGACCTTTCGTGGTGTTCAACGCCGATTCAAGCGCATCAAGAATAGTGGCTATATCAAAAAGTTTCGAAAATATTTAGAAGACAATGGCGGTACCAAAAAACAAAAACTTGATCAAGTGGATGACTATGTTTATGACCGTTTTATACATGCGCGTGAACAATGTTTACCGGTTCATGACAATGATCTTCGACGTTGGGCGATAAAAAAGACCGCTGATATTTCACTTCAAAATCTCGTTGCTGGCCATCATTGGCTGTCGAATTTTAAGCATCGACACGGTTTATGCTCACGTAAAATTACGAAGGTAAAAAATTCTTATGTTTTGTCGAGGATTAGAGAATCGATTCAGAACATCATACAGCTATCGTATGTTTGAAAAGCTTTTTAGTATAATCCGATAGGTGAATTATATGCAAAAAGATCTTTCACGAAGAGTTGTAAGCTAAAAAAAATCAACAAGTTAACACATTGGTCTAAACAATTCTCCTATAGATAGTGTTCTTCTAGACTTCTGTACGATAACAAAATATTTTTGTGTTCATGTAACGAGATATATTTGTATGATTATACAGAATTTTAATAGATTGTCACAAGACATGAAACGATGGATGAAGATACAGTCGTCGATTCGGCTGATAAATTCGTTGAACAAGTTCGCAAGCTTCTTCCAAACAACTCTTCATCCGAGGTTCCTAATACCGATCAAGTCGGAATCAAGATGGAAGTCCATTCCTCAAGAACACTATCATATGAGGGCGAAAAAACAACACTCGTATCAGTTCGTTCAAAACAAATACTTGCACTCATTCGTATACAATTCAACCAATGATCAGTCTTGAAGGCACAAATAAGTTCTTTTCTTTTAGCTGGTACACTATTCACAATAATTTTTCCATTTTCTTTGAAGCCGTGTTATTGGACCTCTCTATCTCTGCTTAAAAGAGCGTACTGGCAAAATGAACAAGAGTATCGAACAAAATTTGTTTCAAGCAAAAAATGTGGTAGTGACTTGTAGCAGCTCTGGAAAACTGACAAGTTCGCTCGTTGTCTAATTCCTTGTATCACAGACAAAACTCTCTTGTTGTCCGATTCATGGTCTACCCAGAATGCTCCTCATTTATACAAATCTGTCAAAGGTCTCACACATCTCATTATTCCAGCAAAGACGACTGATAAGATTCAGCCGTTAGATGTCTTTTATAATCGACAACATAAGATCATCTTACGCAAAGTGTTCGATCGCATCATGCTTGACGAAATGGACATCAACCTATCGGGCAGAAACGATATTATCCAACTTCAGTCTTTGGGACACCATCAAATGTCCACAAAACTTTTTGTTCTTATGATTCGTTATGCTTGGTACGCGAGCGACTATTTAATGACCGATCCTGGTTATTTTTCTACAGTCAAAGATATTTGTTTCAATCTGGAAAAGTCGGTCTGCGAAGAGAAAAATTGCGACAGCTCTTCTTTCATCAAGTGTAGTTGGTGTCGCAAAGAGTTATATTTTGATCATTTTTTCCTTGCCTATCATATGGACTAATTCATCATATTGTGAAAGTTCAGTTGTTCCGGTTGCATTGCTTTGGTTCACTTTATGTTAGTGCTCATTTTAGTTCATGATATGTAAGGATTTCAGCATATACTCAATAAGACTGTTCTGCACATGCACGAACTTGTGAAAAACATAGAGTTGACCTTCGAAATCTTTGCTGGAACCTCATAGTGTGTTACATATGACCAGTGTGAAATGCAGTTCACGCAAAAAAACTGTAAGTCTGTATTTCATATCATTGTGAAAAAATCGGCATTGCGTCGTATTCCAATATAAATAATAGCGCTGTTAGAGAGGATGTGAACTTCATATCTCAACAAGGAAACTATAGAAGTCCGAATCGCTTTGGGGTTTTTCTAGTCTCACTAAGGCCTACATATGAGCAAAATATCACGCCAAAAATGGAGCTTCACTTGGGGGTGCTCTCTCGTCAGCGCAATCTCACGAGTTTAACAGTTTTTTTCTCGATTCTATATAATGCTCAGGTGCTAAGAACGAGTGGCTGACTTAAATCATGACTCATGTGTTTAGAAGAAGAAGAATTTGCCATGGCAACTAAGCGAGTGAAAAGCAATAATGTGGCTAACTGCACTTCATGCAGTCAGCCACCTTAAAGAAGAAGAAGAATTTGTCATGGCAACTAGCTGACTGAAAAACAATAATGTGGCCAACTGCACTTCGTGCAGTCAGCCGCCTTAAAGAATCATAACCATCTTTACTCAAATTGAACTGGTTTGTCAAAAACAACTTGAACAAGATATACTTTATTTCGATAAAGTTTTTATACTAGTTAATCCATTCAATTGTTATCAGTTAATAAAATCTAAACTTAAAATAGTAATAACGAATCATCCATAATAAACGGCTACACTTTGCATTGCATATTCTAATCTCTAAATACGTTTTATTAAAAAAACAAAATATACCAAAAGATGCAGCGTGAAAAGTTCTACAATCTACAAAGTAAAGCTTATTTTATAGTGTGCTTTTTCTGTTCAAAAAAACCGAAACCTCTATGCGACCAACCTTCGACACTTCAAAGAAAATGAATTATTCGTACACCAAAAAATGATCTTCTTCGTAGTGTCGAAGGTTGGTCGCATAGAGGTTTTGGTTTTTTTGAACAGAAAAAGCACACTATAAAATAAGCTTTGCTTTGTAGGTTGTAGACCTTTTAACGACGCATCTTTTGGTATATTCTGTTTTCTTAATAAAACGTATTTAGAGATTAAAATATGCAATGCAAAGTTCTGCCATTTATTATAGATTCTGTTATGATCTAATGCTACCAGCTAGTTTTCAACAAAAACAGTTATCGAAATTTTATTATTACGATGTTAGTTGCATAGTCATCAAATAGCATGGAAAAATAGAGCGAAAGACGCTCTATCTGGTCATAACAAAAGAAAAGTTTTTTCAAGCTTTCTATAAGAAAAAAAGTATCTCCGCCACTACTTTTGGATAACCCTAAGTAATTAGCAAGATTAAGATTAAACATAAAAAAACATCCTTTCATTCTCGATATTTTTCCATATTAATGATATTGTCGTCTTAGCATTGAAGATATAACGCGATATTTATAGATGGCGCCAACAGATATTGTTTAATCTCGGAATACTATATGCTATCTATTATATCGACTTCTGTTTAGAGGTCTAAGTATGTCTGTTATGTTTAGTCAGAAGAGAACACAGACGAAATTTTGTTCAACTTTGTATAGATATAGATGAAGCTTTAATCCTTTTCGAAGTCTGATTTGTATTACATATTAATAGATATTCCACTAAAAGTGTTTCATTTCTTTGCATTTTTTAGATATGGATCGAAGACCTTGGGAAAAAATTCCTCGTGTTTGCAAAATTGAAAAAAAGTGTTACGCGATGCTTACATATCAGAGATGGACAAAATCGCACCGCGCCGCTGCTCACGCCTACGTTACACTAGTCTGTGCTTCGATGAGCGCATGCTTAGAGCATCCCGGTATTCGGTGGAGTTTGAGAAACTGATTGGTAGAGCAAAGAGAAAGAGAGATATGGGTAGCGCCAAGGCGCGAGCAGTGGCGCGGGGAGGCGCGGTGGGATTTTGTCCATCTCT